AGCGGACACTTACCGTTCGCGACGCCTTCGGCGGCGAAGTACCGTGTACCATTCCTCTTCCGCACTCCTCGATCCGATGCCAAGTTGTAACCGCCAAGTCTTTTCGGGCCACTTGCGCTTACGAGCGGACCGACGAGATAGGCCTATGTTTTCTACGAGTTGCCGCGATGACCGAATCTTCACCTACAGACTTGTCTTCGGACCCCCGAGTGGTGCGGCTGCTCGACGAGTTCGCCGACATCTTCGAGTCTCCTACCGGTGTGGTGCCGGATCAGCCGATCTCCCACAAGATCATTCTTGAGGCTGGTGTCGTGCCGCCGAAAGGATACATCTATCGCATGAGCGAGGAAGAGCTCACGGTTCTCCGCGCCCAACTCGATGATATGTTGGACAAGGGCTGGATCCGCCCTCGTAGCTCAGCATACGGTGCGCCAATTCTCTTCGTACGGAAGAGGAACAAGGATCTCTACACGCCAGTGGAACATGACGATTTTCCCGGATGGCAATCGCAAGACCCACCCTCTATGGTCGGTTTTCAAGAGGTCAGCAACATCATCTCCCAGCGACACTACGGCAACAGGCCAACCGAGTACATGGTACACTTTGCGTACTGCAGTCACCCAGCTGACCGTTGATTAACCCGTGCGGAACTCCAAGCAACAACTCCGGATGTTCTCGCACGCTACAAACACAAGATGCAAGGCAAGCCGATATCTTCGGCTCCACATCGCACCCGCATCCACGTTCCACCTTCAGATCGTCACCTTCGCCCTCACCCCGGCTTGACTTCATAAGGGGAGGGGGGTGTTACATGCTGCGTCTGCAACAGGCTGCATGGGCCATTTCCAGGCCCGTGACGTTTTCAGGCCAAAAGCCTGAAAACAAGGGCCTACTGGCCCTGCAGCCTGAAAGCCTGAAAACAAAGGCCTACAGGCCCTGTATCGTTTCAGCCTAAATCAGGGCCTTTCCGGCCCTGAGTCTTTTCAGCCTGAAACTGAGGGCTATTTTCAGGCCCTCATGAGTTCGGCCTGCCCTGAAACTCAGGCACCTAACCAGGGTTTTAGCTCAGGCCATTTTTGGCCTATTTTCAAGACAACCTTGTCCTCATCACACATCTACCACGAGCCAATGAGAATATGGCAAACACTTGGTACCCAGACATGCCTAACCGCACGAGGCCCAGGCCAGTATCTGCAACTGGGCCTGGGCACAGATACTTTGGGCCAGCCTTAAGCTACTGGGCCCCTACACACATGGCCCAGACCAGCCAGCAGCTGGGCGAACTTTCCATAAAGGAAAGTGTGCGCCCCTGGAAAGGGGAATTCTGGCCTGAGCAGGCAATGCAGCCACGCTGCTGCTTTGCCTTGCGATGCTGCTCTAGGCAGGCAGGCTGGGGCGCATGCGGATGCTGCGGTGGCAGTGGGCGCACGACGGCCATAGCCTGGCCAGTCGTGCGGTAGCAGGTGATGGTGACGGTGGTCTTCGGGTAGGAGGCACATGCAGAAGGGAGACAAGCTGTGATGAGGGGAGGAGAGCGAGCGGACCTGGTGTATGCTGGCGGTCGGCATTGGTGATGACGTCACGTACATTGGTCTTCAACTTCGATGTGATCCGGTTGCATGAATGACGATAGGCGTAGATAGGCTGAGTAGCGGAGCCTGGGCGCTGGGCGCCAGTCAGTAGGAGCGGCATTGGATACTGTGTTGGTGTGGCCAGAGAGAGTCGACATTGACATACGAGTTCATTGTATTGCTCTTATTTGGATGGTATCTTGGTGCATTGAGCTCTCCGCTCGGTACATGACTATCTGGACTATCTACGTGATTTTGCAATTCGGATTTCTGTCTATCGCTCTCGCTCATATTCCTTGCACACCCATCTTTCAGGGCCAATACAGTCATGATGAGGTTTGTGCTTTCTTTTTTTGTTTGTTTCATTTTCTGAACGTTCTTTCTCTCGCTCACATACACACACACACACACACAAAAAAAAAAAAAAAAAAAGAAGCATGCTCACCTGTGCCCGGGCATGTGGGGGAGTCGCGCATACACATGTGCACTGCTCATGCACGCGAAGAGTGCGCGGTACGCGTGCTTTCCCCATGTGCGCATGGCGCACAGCACATCCGCACTGCGTAAATGCGCCGCAAGTATGCCTTAACTTGATATATACACTCGGAAAAGCTTTAATTGATGTACACTGACATATCACTCGAGGAGTTTGACTCAAGCCGGAAAATATGCTTAGAAAAGTTTGACTAGGGAGTCTTGAACTGCTTTCGCTTTTAGTTACCAATTGTGATTCACCACACCTACGTCAAAGATTTCTCATATTTGCCGCAGCCCTCACTGCCATCACTGAGTCAAAAGTGCAGACCAAATCTTATGCTTCTTTAAAAAAAAGGGCAACGGCCTTGAGATATCACTGAGCTGACCGGCCCTCAGTAATTCAGCACTATGTTATTCTGTACATCTGATTGCCGCCGGAGTAGAACTTGGGTCTGCATTTCAACAGTTCATGGGGGGTGTACCAACTGAGCTAGTCCTGTTGGTGCTTGTAAACCAAATGTAGTCCTCTTCCCTATACTCTTAAAGACTACAAAGGGCCCAGCGTGACGCCCTGTGCTGGGCACAGCGGAAATCTGTATGGAGGCCGACGGCCCGAGCGGGAGTGAGGGCGAAGGGTGCCGCGGGATCGCGGACGAGAATTTTTGGGAGGCGCAACGGGGGCCGCGGGACAGCACCTGATGCACCATTCCATATTGTATGGGCCAATGGACCGTCGGGAGTCGTTAGGCGGAGCGGGCCGGAAGCGTGGTGGGACAGTTGGGATGGGTGTCATCGTGACGGGTGGGAGGGGGCCGTGTGAGCGTGTCGGGCCCGGCAGCGCAGTGAAATTCGGGCGCGGAGGCATGGGACCGATGACGATGTCTTGGTTCGTGTGCTGCCGATGAGCGCAGCGGCGGTGGCCTGGCGGGTGTGCGGGCCGGTGCGCGGAAAGCGTGGGCGTCGAGGGGGGTGGCGCGGGCGAGGGCTGGCCTCATGCTACTTGCATCGATAGATGAGCAAAATTGAATGAATCTTCCACTAGGACATGGAAATATACCTGCTACACGTGTGTGT